AAAAAAGAAGAAGAGAGAGAGAAAAAAAAAGGGGAGAGATATGGTTGGGCAGAAACAGGGACAAAAGGTCTTAAAATACCTGTGTCATTCCCTTGCGGTGATACCGGAATCTTCTGATATCCCAATTTCCAGTAGAAAGAGATCTTTCTAGACCAACACTAATGCTATCTTTCACTATACTCTGAAAGTACAGAAAATGAAATGTCAAACTTAAGAAAAAAAGGAGGCAGTAAAAACACCATCGTTCTAAGTAATACGACCTATGTAAACAATATCACTGTAGCATGAGAACAAGTGTGAAATATAATGGCACTCTGTATAACAAAATTATCATGTCAAGAAGAAGCTGAAACACCAAATTTATATGGAGATTAACTTATAAAAGAACACAACCAAAAGATATGAAGTAGAAAAATCATATACTAGTAACCACAACCTATGCAGCCAATAATTTCAGCATTTAATTTACAATATCAGGTAATATAAACAAATAAGAAGATATGAGACACATCAACTTATGGAAACAAAATACATGGTGATTTAAGCTTATATCATCCAACCAAAAGCATCTCCTCAGCTTTAGATAGTAGCATTGGAACAAGCATGTGAAATTATTGCAGCACATGACAAAGAAAGATAAAGCAGAAGGAATCCCAAGAAATGCTATGCTGTATTAAATAGACCACGAGTAAAGAGATTAAAATTCTCATCAAATATTTGGGTGTGATCTAATGACTAACAGGTTTTCTTTTTTATGATAAATGTCAATAACCGAAAATTCAAAACTACCCCCAAGGACAACTACTGGAAGAATCAGTTAGTGTAATTAGACTGGGATATATTTTGTGTACTGTTATTCGGGCCTGTGGCATACTTTCATTCTCCTGGGCAATGCTTGTTTCACAGGACACATGAATATGAGTGAGACACTGAACAAAACCTTTCAACTACATGCAACCCATACAGCTTTTATTCCTAACAAAGACCAACAGAGAAATAGTAGGGTGGAGATAGCGAGGTTTAATTTTATCAAGCTGACAATTTACACATTTTCATGTACATTTTCTTAATCCCGGGTATCAGAAGAAACCTGAGAAATGTCAAAAAATTGATTTGCCCTTGCTAACTTCTTATCAATTGTATTGCGGACTTCGGCATTCAATGTCTTGAACAAGTCCTACAGCACAAAGTACAAAAATATAATATCTCCAGTGTAACCATAATAGAACATTGTGTGCAAAGGAAGACAACAGAAGTACCTCAAAAAGTAACGACAGCATCTGGCCAGACAGTTCCAATCGTTTGTTTCCCACGTAATCCTACAACAACGAATATTTTAAGGATCTAAAATTTGGTCACATCCCCATCCAGACATATATGATTTGAAAAGAAAAGTGATATTTGTGAAAAAGACTTTTTAACATGTTAGGTGTATTTAGCAACCAATGATGTTTGCTACGGGCATAAAAAGTGAACAAAAACAATAAATCAAGGGAACTGTACTAGTAGACAACTAAAATTATTGTAACAACTTCTACTAACATTTTACTCCACCATTTCAAACTTACTTTTCTCAAATCACAATAATAGAATGACAATTGCATCTCCAAAATTCCAAAATTAAAGAAGCCCCTCATAACCTCCACCACTTTCATCTCTATTTTCCCAATAATCAATAAAATGAGTTCTTTTTTAGTTTGCATGTGTTAAATTAACAATTGAATGAACATAATCGACTGATTGATATCATAAGTGGAAAATAGAATTTTTTGTACATCAGGTTTCCATAGAAGAAACCCATATATGGTTTTAACAGTTGACTTTGAGATGGGTCATCCAAAGAAGCAAAGTATAACACATATAAGGTCAAGATTAATTAATTCGGTTCTTTCCCCCTTACACTTTTCTAACAGAACATGGCAACATTTTTTGTTGGCTACAAAGATTGTTTCCACAATGCTGCCAAGAACTTTTTTGCTGAAACAGAAAAATATAGATCACTGCCCCAGGGACTCATACTATTTATAAAAGCAGATAATGCTTGAATCCACAAAGGTTGGAACATTCTTTATTTGACATTAAAACAAAAAGGTAGGCCATTGTATATTAGGAAGGAAAAAAAATGCATCCAAGGAACTCATAGTGACTTTATTTGGCATGTGATTTTTATGGATTAGATAATAAGTAAACTCTTAGAATCAATATCCACCTTTAGGTGTGTTCATCCACCCTGGGTTAAGTATTATATTACGCATGCATGATACATCTATTGGAATGAATCTAAGAAGAAATGGTAAAAGTAAAATACAGAACCTTATACCATTTGCTTTAGTTACTGAAAGTTGCCAATTCAAGAAGGGTAGAACTGATATACCTTGTCATCTATTGCATCCTTGCTTAAGATAGCTTCCATCATGCGCCTCAACATTAGAGCAACATATATGCATTTTGGTCGGAAATTATTCTGACTCATCTGTGAGGGAATTTTTTGGGTTCAGGGTGGAATTTTGAGCTTTGGGTTATAAGATAACCTACAGTAATCAGTAATAAGTTTTGCCATAACTGAACTTGAAAATGCACTTACAGGGACATTGGCAAGAAATGTATCCTGAAGGATACTCAAAGCATGCCCCTCCTGAATGCCAAGTTATTTGAGAAAAGGGAAAAAGATCAAAATAAAAGTTCCTCAATAACAATTAATAATATAAAAAAAAAAATATATCAATAATAACAATAAGTAAACTGACCTCGTCCATGGTGTAATATGGTGACTTAACCTACAACATGAAACAGTAATGAGTAGAAGAAATTTTGAAAAACAATAAGAGTATCATTCTGACTACGAAATATATTCTTCTCGATTAAGTTATGTTCCTAATAGAGTAAAAGCACCTCAGATTTGCAATGAAATTAAACACTTAATAGTTAATAACGTTCATAAATGTATAATAATGCATCCACAATACAGTGATTATTCCTTTTTAACAATAAGCACTAAAATCTGTCATTTTTTCTTCCCTATATATAAAGATATTATGACCATATTAAACGTTCTTATTTGTAACTCACTGAACATAAGAGAAAAAGGATCTGTTAAGAACCAGAAGAACAAACTCCTCGTAGGCTAATAAAGTATTTATGTACAGCTAAATTATTAAGCTATTCACTTGATACTTATGAAAATTAAGGAACCTCCCTTTTGAGACATATCATCAGTCAATTCCAACAAAATTCATGTACAGCTAAATTATGAAGCTATTCACTTGATACTTATGAAAATTAAGGAACCTCCCTTTTGAGACATATCATCAGTCAATTCCAACAAAATTCATGTATACAATACGGAACTATGGCACTACTAAGAACTTTAACTTGACAATAAGGGGTTAATGGGTCAATAATTAAACATCCAACTCCAAACTGACCAACTTAGTTGGATGGGTCACTAATCCTACAACTGAAGGTATTAAGCAGGATATGAAACGTAGTCAAGCAACTTGATCTGAGCAAGCAACTATATCATAAGTTACTATAAATCTATAGGCATATAAGATCAATCAATTTATACAGGGCGTAGCTACTGCTTTGACATTCATTCTTCTAGTTGATTAAATATTTATTCAGGAAAAGATCACAACCATGTCTTTGAGGAACCACAATGCCTCGCGTTGAGTTCGTACACCTATCTCGGTACATTCCTGAAATCAAGACACAAAACCAAGCACAATATCAAAACCTACATGAAACATTAAACGAATAGAAGCTTTTAACAACTGGAAACAGGATTATGGGTACCTTAATTGAAGGCATTAACAGCTCACCATACCGAGGGTACCTTCCAAGCATCTGGACAACTTCTTGATCACTTTCCATACCCATAGCTTTGATGACAACCATGATGGGAACCTAGAAAATTATATTAAATCGAGATTTAATGTCGTGACAAAATATGGAGTTATAGACAGGGAGAGGCAGAGATAGTCATGATTATTCATATCGACCTTGGCCTTCATCTGGTTCAAGTACACATAAAACTTCTCTCCCTCCATTTTTATAACCGTCAAACTCTTTTTTGTTTGCGTTAGGCTCGTGACTGATGCTTGCACCCTGATACAAAGGAAAATGATACTATATGATTCAGTCAACAAGATATATCACCAGTCAAGGAAATGAATTTAGTAAAAGCAGTATTTCCCTTTCTTTATCCTTTTTCATTTACAACAACGTATATCCATCACCAAATCTACATATTATCGTATCCGTAATAGCACGAAAGTATATATGTTAAGAATCGAATGAATCACATTTTTCCAAATCTCGTAAGCTGACTTGTTTCCACCAGCTAAAAAGGGAAAAGGATCAAAACTATCTAGATTCATCAACACCAAATGCAGAGTAACTCATTGAGAAAATAAAATCTCAGTTGTAAAATAAAATTAAACATCCAGACCTCCCAAGATAAGTTTTTTTGTAGGGGATGTGTTGTTCTCGTCAAACTACTCGAGGTGTATAGCCAGCCAGTCAACTTATAAATGCGCTTCAGGCAAGGCATAAGGGCAGGAAGTACTATCTCATAACAAGAAAGGACTAAATGTGATGAAACCTACTGACCTGCCCATCCTATCAACATCAATTATTATCCTGTTCTTTGATAGTTGTTCTTGTATCAATATCACCTGGAAGAAAAAATGAAGAATAAGCATCATATTGACCAACTAAAGATCTGATCCACAATAATTATAGAGTAAAATACATATGGCCTCAAGGAGATAAATTTGAGTTAAATAAGGGCGATGACATTCTTGATATAAGAAAAAGAAAATTTTGTGAACAAGATTAAATACCAGTAAAAAAAGGTCAATACAGGAAAAGTTAACTAATGGAAGTATCACCTTCTCTGCACCTTTGACGATAAAATATCCTCCAGGATCAAGTGGGCATTCACCTAAAGGGGATGAATAAAATACGCAACGCATGAGAAACAAAAGTTACATGAACATAGTGCTTGGATTTATATTATGAAATCAAGAAGATATACCATATCTGGAACGTTCTTCTTCATCCTTCCCGTACAAAATGCAACAACAACTTCTTAACATGATAGGCATTCTTCCAATAGTTACGTCCTTCTGAAAATATAACTCAAAAAACAGTGTTTAATTGAGCTTGCAGCTCTTTAGAACATCTTAGATGCTAGATGTTAGGATCCTATAAGTTGTTTTTAGATGTTAAAACCAGATCTTACATAAGCACATCAGAATTTAACCTTTATGACAGTGAAAATGATTGCTAACATTTAATGAGCTCTATCATCTCAAGTTAACCACACACTTTAACAAT